ATAGATAGATAGATAGATAGATAGATAGATAGATAGATAGATAGATAGATAGATAGATAGATAGATAGATAGATAGATAGATAGATAGAAAAGAACTTTGCCTGGAGTCTGAAAACTTTTGTGGGTCAAGACTAAACAAGACAGTGAGCCGGGTGGTTATAAAGAAAATTTAAACAAGTTTCTCTATAGCTATTTGATTTATCCAAAGACTTGGGATATAGATAAATAAATAAAAGCTTCCTTCACACATATACGCACATACCTGCCATATTCATTTGAATTAAAGTTTAGCGGGTCCAACTATATTTGAATTCCAGAAGAATTGCAGTTGGATACCCACCACGCATAGTATTGCAGGCTTACAATGCAGTATTTATATTCAGCCAAAGAGCATCAGTTATTGTCTAGTATTTTCTAATTTGACTCACCATGATTTACAAATTCCACAATGTGGCTTTCTTTGTTTTGACTTGCAGTGCTGTGTGAATGCAAGCAATGTGGTCTACAAACGACGGTTTATGATTCAGTAAAAGTAGTAAATTTCTGTAAAACTGTTTTAGTAGTAGTATTGCATACCACTGCTGTTTATCGTGTAGTGCATTGTATGATTCCAGACTGTTTTCATTTATTCAATAAATCAGAATTTAAGAAGGCATAGTTAGCACCAAGTGTTACTTTTCTCCCACGAGGTGTTATAAAAATAAACAGGCAGAGGGAAGAGGGCTATGTGTGTGTGTCAAATGTAATACATAAATGCAATTCCTGATCTATGATTGTTGGATTCATTACATTTCTCTTTATACCACCTGAGTGGTCCTTTAAACAGAATAAGAGAAATGCAATTAGAGCTTGCAAACACTGAATCTAATATAGCCTGTTGATAAAATAAAGGCTGTTTAAATGTGTCATTTGTCCTAGAGGAAGATTGCTATTTCAGAAGATTTATTTAACAGGCAGCATTCCTCCCTCCCCCCTTCCTACAGGCAGCAGAATCCTGAAAGTTCGATAGAGGCATGAATCAAAGCATGCTCCAATTTTTGATAAAATGTTTCTGCAGATCTCTTTTTAATGACTATATCACGCCTACAAATATCACAGAGGGATGGGATTGCTGTTTCTGAAGGGACTGTATTAATCCTGATACTTCCTGTTCTCAATGTATCTCATCCAGAATAATAGAGTTGGAAGGAATCTTGGAGGTCTTCTAATCCAACCCGCTGTTTAAGCAGGAAAACCTATTACATTTCAGACAAGTGACTGTCCAGTCTCTTCTTAAAAAAACAAAAACCTCCAGTGTTGGAGCACCCACAACTCCTGGAGGCAAGCCGTTGTACTGATTAATTGTTCTAATTGTTAGGAAATTCAATGTATAGTAACTCAGAAAAGGGAGAGTTCAGAGCACCTGAAAAACTAAATACCCTTTTCCAAAAGTGATGGCAATGGGAAAAATATTGATGGGATTATGAGAAGATCATGTTGATGTCTGCTATATATTATATTTCATAGACTTTCACGGGTGTAGGTATGCTGGTCTTGTTGTATTCGGGTCTTTTCCCATGTAAGATTGAAATTATCTTGGCAACGTTTCG